CAAAGTAATATACATGAACACAATTGTAATCGAGATGAGAAGGAAAGAAATTTGCTTAATAACTATAAATTGAAATTAGCAACCCAACTCAAGCTCACTTAAAGGAAAAGGACCAAACTTCATCATTTTATTAACTATTATTGTAAATCTTAGCTCAAGTAAAAGATGAAATGACCGATTCTTCATATTGCCATTTTTGGAGTGGCAAGTAACTATAGATTGCCCATATGGATTTTGACTAGACTAGGTGGCTTCCTAACCAGGATGGATCTTGGGATGTACGGATGTGGGCGACCGCACCCTAAAAATTTGGAAATTTCATATACTATCTAAGAAACTTAAAATATTTAAATTATAGGGGTTTGCATCCCCAAACATACTTTCACACCCCATAGTGATAAATTGGATTTGTAATTGTCAAATGTAGATAGCATGAGAGCAGAAAGGCTTAAGAACACAAAGTGATTTTTTTGCAATGTCTGGAAATTTAATGATCAATAGTCTTGCCTAATAGTGTGCTGGAGGGAGGTTTTTTCAATATGGAAAAGACTTCTTCTCAATTATTTTGATATATTTCTTACTCCTTCATCATTTTTTTTTTTTTTCTGACTCTTGTTCCTTTATCACCTTATGAGAGTTTCCAACATTATTGGATAAATCCTTATTTTAGAACAGAGCATCCAAGTACTTATCAAGAAAATTTCTGGCATACCTTGAGAATAGGCGCCAAAAACTTGTAATGTAGTTTAGATGATGAGCATGCATACATCCTAAAGTTTGTTTCAACAACAACAAAGCCCTAAGAATAAAAAGGTAAATATAATAGTCAGCTACATTTTTCTATATAAATTTTTCAACAAAAACATTGAAAAAAATACTAAAAAGCACAGTCTCTTTAGGGTTAACATATTGTCAAAGCTCATGGAGGTGTATCTATATTTGTAGAGTAGGCGAATGTACTCCATGAAGCAAATGAAAAACATATCAACATTCTAAGTGAAATGGAACCATCATAAGCTCTCTCGTCTTGGTCAATTTCAAAAAGAAACCAACTAACTCGAACTAATACAAATTACTTAACCATTTATTTTGTAGCCATTGGAAACTTATGCTGCTAGCTAATACATCAATATGTCAACATTTCAGTTGTTGATGTAATAGATTAATTTTCGCAAAATACATTCCATGCTGCCATGGATATGATACATTATGCTGCCTCTAGCACTGCTCTATGTTCTACATAAATGGGACACACCAAATTTTTATGTCCCCTAAGTCCAAAAATTGCAAGAGTGGAATCAGAATCTAATTCTATAGAAAATGAACCTGGAAGCCATGGTATGGACTACAAATAAATAACATAATGAAATTAAAGACAATGAAAATTTTGTCTGCCAATTACATGGAATTGAAGCAGCAGTATGGAAAAATGAAAGATCAAGAGAAAAGGCTTCATCTAGCTTGGATTGTGAATGAAGCACCTGATTTTTTTTTTTTTTTTTTTTTTTTTTTTTTTTTTTTTTGAGTTCCGGTGACAACATGAATTGGAGAGCTAATGTGTTCTAAAGTAGAAGTGAACCATTAGAACCTACAGAGTAGAATTTTGATTGTCATCCATAAGGTGAGCATGGAAGACCGTGAACTAGTGACTAAAACTTTGGATGATGGATGAGCTCAACATCTTTAGAGATTGTCACTAATACGGTTTGGAAGAGAAGCATTGTTGTCTTTTAAAGATAAATAAGATTCTTCAATCTGCCAGCTATTCATTCAAAGCAAGACCCTAATATCTGAAACTCAAAATTTATGCATAAGCTCATCATCGGTAAATTTCAAATTTACTAAACACTAGAACTAAAACAACTCAAATTGCAATGAAGGTAACATAGAAGAATTATGTTTGAGCAAAGTTACCATTGTGAAGAGTATCAAAAAGTGATGCTATGCTTTTCAATAGACTTTAAAAAACCATATTTATATAGTTTCAAAGCTTGTGTATTTATTTATTTATTTATTTATTTTTTTTCAGAATGAGATGTAATGCATGTTAAATGCACAATAGTAAAATGAAGACTCTCTCAAGGTCCTAACAAAAATGCAACCTTGAGATATAACTGAAACATGGTGCCACAGGTAAATTTTTTTCTTCCATTCAGTGTGCTTTACATGTAGAACAAAAGTGTAAGATTCTTTTGTTTACTTAAGCATGAATGAATAATGAGGGAAACAAGTAGAATTTTAGAAGAATGGCAGTTGATTATGCATGAATTGAGCTCAGGGTGAGTAAAAACATTCATTAATGTCCATCCATTTGATAGAAATTTGCTGAACCTAGCAAAAATTCATCTCTTATGCTTTGATTGTTTCGGCGGAAAATATTTTTTGGAAAATGTTTTTTCTAATTTCTGGCGGTTAGTATGATAGAAAACGAAGTTAATGGAAAATGTTTTCCATGGTCAATAAAACAGCATTTGTTAGTGAAAAAACGCTTTACATTTTTGAAGGTGGAAAATTTTTCCCCAAAGTGTAAAACATTTTCGGTCTAAAGTCTTATCAACACCCATCTTCCACCCCCCACTACACCAACACCACCACTAATACAACCACTAGTATTAGTTCAGTTGCAAACAAACATAGGAGATCATTTTTTTAGAGAGAACATTTTATAGAAAATAATTTTCATAGAAAGGATTGGCTCATAAGGTGAATTGTTAAATCTTACCTTGTAGAAATGTGTAAGATTACTAGTGGCGGTAATAACAAATAGGGCAATTTTTCCATCGGCACCTAATGAATAATCAAAGATAAAATAACAAATGAGAATGAAAATTATCCATTCATTATTAAGGAAAAATGAAGAGAAAAAGAACATTTGAAAGGAAAAACAGAGATGAATTGAAAAACAGAGCAGTGTGTTTAATTAGTAAGGTACTGGTAATTTCAACATTCCAACAAACTGGAACTCTCTTACAATTCAAAAGAAGTAGACAGTAAACCTCAGTTGTGATCAAAATCTGAGATGATATTAGTAATGAGAAAATAATAAATAAAATAGTATGATAGATTTTGTGTTTTGTTGTGTTTGTACCTTTCAGTTGGCTGCTTATACTCATAAATCTACTTGAGGAATGTATTGGAAGTGGGCCATATTCTTTTCCCTTTTCACAACTTCTGTTTTAGTATTGGATTACATTTATATATCTCCAGTGACAACAACTAGGGAGGGAAGTCTTGTTCTGGAAAGGTCACAAGCTCAGGGCAGTAAAGATTGATAGATGCAACAGAGAGAGAGGCACCCTTCTTCGAGGCAACCCTTCCTTTGGAAAGGACGCGAGCCTAGGGCAACAACAGATTTCAAGTGTTTCAAGAGAGGTGAGGTTTTGAAACTCCTCATAAGAGAGTCTTTCCAGATTTGGGAAGCGGTTGATGGTCAAATTGATGAGAGAGGTGGGCAGGAACATCCCTTCGTCTGGAAAGGACACCGTATCTCCCCACGGCCAACCTTCGCCATCAAGGTGGAGTGTTGTAAGAGAAGAGAGTTTGTGCAAACCCCACTCTAATGGAGATGGAGGCGGAACTGGAAGTTGACCGACGTCGTCCCATCTCAAATTCCCGATTTCGAGTTCGAGTGAAGTGATGTTGGTGGGGAAACTCCCTTCCTTGACAAAGTATGAGACCATTCCTGCTCTGCAATCAACTAAACACAGCTTTTGAAGCGAAGTGAGTTGGTTGATGTTGTTGTTCTCATCAAGACCACCAAGTGACAGGGGCTCCAGATTAGGACAGCATCTTATCAGCAATTCTCTGAGATTCCTGAGATTATTGGCTTCAGGTAAAGATTTGAGACTGCTGCAATACGTAATTTCAATATTTTCAAGAGATGGACAATCAATTTTGATCCCTTCCTCTGCAAAAAGTGACTTCAGATTTATACACCACTCAATCCTAAGTTGTTTTAGTGTGGATGGTAGCCCACCTCTTGACAATAAATATGTGAGTGATGCACAGTTAGAAACCTTCAACTCTTGCAGATTATTGAGTGTCATCAACTCGGGTAGGGACTTCAAATCACCACACCCTGAAACCCCAAGTTCTCTCAGCATAGATGGCAAACCTTTCATTGGAAAAGAGATCAGACTTTCACAATTGCCGATTCTAAGCACCCCAAGAGATGTGTATGTGTGCAGATCTTGTGGCAGTTTCTCCAGCATTCCACACTTTTCAAATGGATTCTAAGCACCCCAAGGGATGTGTATGTCTGCAGATCTTGTGGCAGTTTCTTCAGCATTCCACACTTTCAATTGTTAAATACTTGAGTCTCATCATGCAAGGCAGCCCTTCATGTCGCTGCTTTTTCGAACCTTCTCTTCCTTTCTCCTGCTCTTCTTCAAACAAGCAAACGAGTTTGGGGCAATGACAAATCTTCAAATGGTAGAGGGAAGGAAGACATACTTGTATTCTCACCTTATTTCGCCACAATGTTATGAGTTCTTGGCAGTTACAAATATTCAATTTCTCGAGTCCTATCAAACCTCGAGTGAACCATGTTGGTAGGAATGCCAGTTTTTCAACATGGGAAATGCTCAAAGCAGTTATTGAAGTCAAATGCTTAGACATTTCATTAGCCAGTAACTCTTCATCAGTTGTGCTTGGATCGCAGAGGGAGTTGAGAACTATAACATGTCTAATATCCAAGGTGAGGGAACCAAGTTCAATCATGTTCTTCATCCCTAAGAGTGCTGGAAGGCTTGGGAGCATAACATTATTCATTGACAAGGACGCAAGTGATAGGTGAACGAGGCTCGAAACATCAATCAGCAACTGCAGACAACCATCAATTTTGAGAGAATTGAGACAAGGAAGATCATTTGGTAATCTTCCAACAAGTTTGGGACAATTCATGATAGAAAGCTCACTGAGATGACAGAACGGTTGAACTCCATCTGTTTCAATAGCAGACCAATCCTCCCATGTTGGCATAAACTCAAAGCTCAGTCTCTCTAGAGAGGGGAAAGGTTGGCACCACACTGCTGCCCATAGAACTCACAACCCAAGCGCTTTATTGCACTCATTCCTTCAATGTAAAGGTTTTTAAGCAAGGGTAGTTGTCCAAGTGGTGGCAAAGATGTGCAACATTTCCTACCTTTTAATCGCATGAACACCATTTTGGAGAACGAAACTTCTCCAACCCAGTTTGGAAATTTTGTACTGCCATACCCATTGATGGTGAGTCGTTCCAACAATTTGGAAGGTCTCATCACGTCAAGCACATCCCTCTCAACTATGTCATTCTGTGAACTATGAGATTCATCCCATTCTAGTGATAAACTTTTTAACTCCTCCTTAGACATTAAATTGGCATCCCTTGCATCCTTAACACCATTGACATTCTCCAGTCTTGATATGTATATTGCCCCTCGAATGTGTGATAGGTTTTTCAACTCTCCTATTTTACGCCCACAATCTTTACCCACCATAAAATTTGGCAATGTTTGGAGATTAGTTAATTTACCTATATGTAGTGACATCTCTTCTAATGATGGGATATGCACGCCAGTCATGTCAAAATAGCGCAAGTTCCCTAGCCTCCCCATGTTTAGAGACAACTTTTGAAGTCGACGACAAAATTTCAAAAACAAGACTTGTAAATTATAGAGAGTTGCCACTATGTCAGGTAACCTTGTAATCCCATAATGGGATACATCAAGGTACCGCAAATGCTTTAGATCTCCAATGGAATCTGGTAGTTCATCTATGCTATTACAATGTAAACGCAATTCACGTAAGCATTTTAACTTTGGCAAAAAATCATGAAACAAGTACCTCGTTGCATGGAAGCTCGGTGGAAAAAACTGTAAGAATGTTCATAAGCATTTGGCATCATCAAAAACTTCAAATTTTTTGATTCCGTCAATGTAGTTACCAACATAAATTGCATGTCAAGCTTTGTCAGAAATCTTGCTCGGCCTGTCACCTTCTAAATTATTTTCCAACCTAAAACATTTGTCCCGTGACATTGAGCCAAATCATTGATGAGGTCATGCATTATGAATAGCGATTTGTTACCACTTGACGGTTGAAAAAATGATCTTGACACCAATTCGTGAAAATACTTGCAGCCTAAATCTTTCATTTGCTCTCCACCTTTTGGTTGTTCAATTAAACCTTGGGCCATCGATAGCAAGACTAATTCCGTCTTCCTAAATTCATAGTCCTTTGGAATGATTGCACAGTAGGAAATGCACGTCTTCAAATGGGAAGGGAGATGAAGGTAGCTTAATTTCAATGCTGGGAGAATGCCACTTTCCTCATTCCATATATCGCTGTTTAGTATCGCTTTCCATTCACGTTCTTCTTGTTTACAGCACAATAAGCTGCCAAGAGCCCTCGCTGCCAAGGGTAAGCCTCTACACCTGTTCTCAACAATTTTTTTACCAATTGATTCCAATTCTTGGCATTCCTCAATATTTCTGTTCTGAAATGCATGTTGGGAAAAGATTAACCAACAATCGTCATATGATAAGTTGTGCAAATTGTGATATTTATCCATTCCCATCTGCTTTGCAACACCTCTGTCTCGCGTTGTCACAATGACTTTACTTCCAGGTGCTCCAACTCCAAATGGGGATTGTAACAAATTCCACCCATCATGTCCATAGTCCCACACATCATCTAGGACAAGCAAAAACTTTTTCCCTGCCAACGTTTTGCTAAGTTGAACTTGAACCTCATTTAAGTTACTAAAATTCCATGAACAGTGAGTGAACGACTCGAGAATTGCCTTTGTTATTCTCATAACTTCGAAGTCATCAGAAACACAAACCCATGCTTTTAGATTGAAATGCTTTTGCACTTGGTCGTGATTGTAAATGTGCTGAGTTAATATAGTCTTGCCGATCCCACCCATGCCTACAATGGGAATTACATCAAAAGAAGTTCCAGTAGGTGCATCCCCAAATAGCAATTCCATAATTTGCTTGATGTCTTTATCTCTGCCATGAATGTGAGGTTCCTTCAAACATGTAGTTTGTGATCTCTGCTGTAAATCTGTAGACATCCTCCCAACAAGTCTTTTATCTAAACCAAGTTCTTTTCCTTTTGTAGCAACTTCTTGTAATTGACTAGTAATCTCAATTAGCTTTGACCCACTTTTAAAATTGAATGGAGCAATATTAGAGATGCGTGGAAACTTAGCTGGTCTTCTTTCCATTGTCGTCTCCTCCGCCATTAGCTTCCTTTCAAGATCGTCAGTGGCAAAATCATCCAACATGTCATCTGCATCGTCAGCCAAATGGTAACCTCTTCAAGCCACTTTTTGATATCCTTGTGGTATATCTGTTTGTTCTCTGCATCAGCCAACAAAGTCTCTAATAAATCCTCTAATGCCTTCTTCAGATTCTGGATGCCAGTGCCAACATCCGTTGTGCTCACTATGTTGCTAAAATAAGAGGACAATTTATCAACCATAGCTTGTACGAATCGAGAGATAAAGATCCCAAATACATCCATGTGTTTGTTCTGAAAGAAGGAAAGGTAATGAAACCAAGCAATACAGATATCAGAAACAGGTTGAAGAGCCTCTGCAAACTTGGAACGACTTTGGTGGTAAAGATAAGAATTTGAGTCAAAACGAAGCAATACAGGGATCAAGAACAGGCTGAACCTCTGCAAACTTGGAACAACTTTGGTGGATAAAAGATATGAAAGGTAGGAAACGAAGCAATACAGACATCAAAAACAGGTTGAAACTCAGCAAACTTCAAACAACTTTGGAATTGTAAAGGATATGAAAAGTCAGAAACTCATCAAAAACAAAGCAATACAGAGATAAAAGAATCAAACAGTTCGAAGAAGCTCTGCAAATGTGCAGTAGCTGAAGATTGTAAGTTGTAACCAAAAGCAAATGAAAGTGGTACAAGAAGGGGCATGAAGAAATTAGAAATCAACAATAATGGAGTCTCATCTCATTGGCCATTTTACCAGTTTGTTTGCTACCTTTTTTTTTTTTTTTTTATATTATCCCATAATGGGATACATCAAGGTACCGCAAATGCTTTAGATCTCCAATGGAATCTGGTAGTTCATCTATGCTATTACAATGTAAACGCAATTCACGTAAGCATTTTAACTTTGGCAAAAAATCATGAAACAAGTACCTCGTTGCATGGAAGCTCGGTGGAAAAAACTGTAAGAATGTTCATAAGCATTTGGCATCATCAAAAACTTCAAATTTTTTGATTCCGTCAATGTAGTTACCAACATAAATTGCATGTCAAGCTTTGTCAGAAATCTTGCTCGGCCTGTCACCTTCTAAATTATTTTCCAACCTAAAACATTTGTCCCGTGACATTGAGCCAAATCATTGATGAGGTCATGCATTATGAATAGCGATTTGTTACCACTTGACGGTTGAAAAAATGATCTTGACACCAATTCGTGAAAATACTTGCGGCCTAAATCTTCCATTTGGTCTCCACCTTTTGGTTGCTCAATTAAACCTTCAGCCATCCATAGCAAGACTAATTCCT